CGCTTCGATGAATCTCCAATCCAGGGTTATCTTCGTTGGGAGTATGGCGGGACGGCGATGGAGGTCGAGACGCAGCGCGGGACGACTGACCGCTTTGAGCAAGAACACGCTCGACGGCGTCAATGAGGGTAGGGTCCATGTCCATGATTGGCTCTTCTACAATTTCTTCCTCTGAGGCATCGCCGGTGGTGCTACTCTCCAGCAACGCATTGGCTTGATGATGAGGTGATGTTGCATTCTTTCGTCGGAGACAAAGCCGAGTGACGGTGAAATTGGTCGTGTCTGCAATTAGCGTTGTGCAAATCTCCGTCCATTCATTAGCCGCGTCACCAGCTTCACTCATTGGGGGAGTGGCAATAGCGGGCGTCGGCTCAGTTCTCATTGAACGCTTCACGTCCTCCTTGAGGGTGTCATAAGGACGGACTGCTTGAAGTGCAAAGTCCTGGTGGTACCTCCGCAACCAGCCAGCAACATCGACGGCTGATTCCGCGCCTCTGTGTGAAGAATCGTGAGCAGAGGTTCGCCCATGCAATGACTGACGGTCGTTGAAGCTGCTGGCGGCAGTAGGGGCACCCGAAGGAGAGCTCATGATAGATGGGAAAGAAGAAGAGTACGGGAAATTTGGGGGCAAGTCCACGTCAACCACACCATCGTCTTGATCGATCGAAAGCTTGAGAGGAAAGCGATCAAGGCTTCGTTTTTCCGGTATGTTCTTCGGGGGCGAAGCCTTATCGACTATCCCGCTCGTAAAGTACAAACGCCTTGCGCTAGCAGGGCTTGGAGGTGTTGCGGTGTTGCTTTCTAATGGACGCTGAGCTTTGCCATTCGTATCGATCTCCTCCACCATCTGAGCCAGCTTGCTCATTGAATCTTGACTGTGTAGCTCATTGGGCACCCCTGAGATCCCAAGACCCTCCTGGGATGAAGCTAAGAGATCACTGTCCTCGGTAGATGAAGCACGCCGACCACTCCAGAATCCACTGATCACACTGCCCCATCGACTTCCTGACTGAGAATCAGAGCTTGTGTTGCCATGCTCATTGCTTTCCGACCGGGATAGAGTACGCTGCAACGACAGGGAGGCAAAGGTTCCACTGCTTTCTGGTCTTGGCTCTGCTGTAGTGCCAATTCGAGGGTCTGTTGAATAACTTGAAAAGTGAGTGGCGGGGATGACGGTAGGATCGATTACAGCTTCGGGTGTCACGGTCGCAGTCGTGGTTGTGCTGCTTTTCCGTGTCGCTGAGGCATTGGACGATATAGGTAGAGCGCTCCTGATCGACCGCGCATCCGACGTTCTTCGGCTTCGATGTTGGATACTCAGGCCCTCAGCCACGGCATCATCACCTGGTGTCACATCTGATCCAGAGAAACTGACAGATCTTGCATGGGACGTGGCGCTGACGGCGGGAGGGTTTTCCCCATTTCTTCTGTTCATCGTCCTACGCAAGGACTGTCTTCGTTGCATCAGTACGCCTGAAGGGGGAGACTGAGAGTATCCGGCGTTTGACCAGCTCGCATCGGACTGATTAGACTGATTCTGCCCATCGGCAGTGAGCCTCCTGTGAATGCCGGGCAGGAACGCAGACAGCAAGAATATCAGTCGGCGGGCGGTCATTTTGTCTTGCGACACTATGACGGTACGATGTTGTATCGCGCTGACTTCACCGTTGACCTCATTCGAATGCTTTGCGTGTCGACGTCTGTATCGACTCGGGCCCAGAGACTCCAACCACTCGGTGTGAGATCCAAGGAAGGCTGTGAGCAAATTGAAGAGAAAGAAATTCTGATCTCGCCCTCCAACGCAGGCCCCGACCAAACGACCCTCCTCTCTCCAGATACCCCATCTGGGCTGGCCTGCAACAACTCTGCGAGTCTTCAAAGCAAGAGCTATCCGTTTCCCAATCAAATCAGTGAAATTCTGGACTATTGAGCATTGTTGCAATGCCCCAGCAGGGAGCTGCAACGTTCGCTGCGTTGGCGGCTTCAGCATACTCGGCTTGATGCCTGGTCCTGGCTCGGAAGCCTTTGACTTCTCAGTGAGCAGCATTTCCAAGTACGGGAGTTCCTGCCTCACTAGTGCATCGCTGATTTTGCAACGAGCGACAATTTCCAGAGAAGACAGAGCTCGAATCAAAATAGTCCAGTGGGCAATGACATATTCAATGTCGCGGTTGGAGTCGAAGGCGATGCCATTGGCCTGAGCGCCATCCCGTGGCCACGAATGAGTATTGATCGCAGCGAAGCCCATGGGACTCGACCTTTGTGGGGAGAGGTATTGCATAGACGGGGTAGGTGGCCGTTGCCTATGCATTGGCATTTGGAGAAGGACAGCTACCGCGTATGTTGGAGTCTTCAGCTGCTTCGCTTTGGTTCTACGGTGAGCTGCGACGTGATCGCTTTCATGACGTGGCTGACCGCGGACTGATTTCGCTGGCTCGTCAGGTCCTTGAGTGTAATGGGCGGATTCCTTAGGGTCGATAGAGAAAAGTCGAGTGATCAGTATTGAAGAGCTGGTAGGACGCGGAGGCTGTAGATCTGCATCTCGAGACTCGGCCGTGGTCGATAACGATTGAAGGTCTGCAGCTGTCGTTGATCGAGTCAGAGGAGTCCTCCTTTTTGGGAACGCACCCGAAAATGACACGTCTCTTGCCGCTAAATTTGTATTCTTATCACTCCCGGCGTCCAGTGCTTTGGGTGGTCCGACATGGAGCTTCGTGCTGGAAATAGACGGGAACCCTGTAGCGCCAAACATGCAATCCAGCAAAGCATCCGTCTCTTCTCGGACTTTTCTCGCAATCTTGCTCTGCGCAGTCTCGCCATCACTGGTCGCAGGCCGCTGAGTATGATTGCGTCTTCCAGCGTTGCTGAACAGGCTACCAAGCTCACTCACGGGGGAGAGGGGCGATGTTGGTGACGTGAATATAGACTGCGCTGTTTGGGAGAAAGAAGACTGTCGAGTATGTGGAGCGGTGTGTGACTCTTTCACGTTATCATTGCTTCTCTCTCCTCCTGTGAAAGAGCCACCCTTTCGAGGTCCATTTTTAGACGCTTCTGGAAATGTAGCATTGCGCGCTTGAGGTATTGGTGGTGGAGGGTGGGAGTCGTAGAGGACCCGAGGCTGTGATGAGAGAGCATTTGCATCCTGAGCGATAATGATTCGGACGTCTCGAGGACTCTGTATATCCAAACCACCTCGATCATCTGAGCTACTTGCTACGGCGGCAGCGGTTGAAGGATCCCCTTGCCTGAGAGGATAGGCATAGTGTTGTCCTTGGCGTAATGCCTCGCCTTCGGGGTAGAGTAGGTCGTAGGTATGCGCTTCTTCAGTGACGGACTCCAACTGACGTTGGCCTCTCGGGGTGTGGGGTGAGGGCGCGGTGGAGAAGAGCTGTCTGAGACCGGAGACAGAAGACTGCAAGAACATGATTTTTCGGTATTAATGTGTTATCCCGGGTTGTTATGAATAGTGTGACCACACTGGCAAGCCTCGCATCCCCGCCCAGGCCATGTCATGAAGCTCGATATTATCCGCCGAGGTCCGCTCTTTGCGATGCATTGACTGAACGCTCGAGCTTGCAGAGGTGTGCTGAATGCTTCGAATTAATGAAGTCGCCGTGATACTAGGGAAGGAGATGAAGAGGGTAGACAGTAAGGACAGAATGGCTGCTGAGAATGAATTGTGGTGCAGTCGCACAGAAATAAGCGGTGAAGGATTGTCGGAATAGTTGCTGCAACCTGACGCCCTGATGACCGATTCTCGGCAGCTGTTACTCCCCTCGCTCCTAGCGTTTGGAAGTCAGTCTTGGCATTGAGAAAATCCCGCCCCCTTTTAACTTTGGTACCGTACTCTACCCCGGGAGGAGCGGTAAGGAACAACTTATCTCCGCTCAGCCCTACGATGTTTCGTTATGGTCTGGCTCGCGGGAAAGATCGGAACGCCAAGCCAGACAACTGCGCGGAGACACACATACAAATTCTATGTATCTCTCTGTTCTAGTATCCTGTCATTGCTCCTTTACCGTCTATAACTGCTTGTAATCTATTTGACATACTATCCACTTTCTCGTTAATAAACGATCTGGAAATATTAGTCCCCCCTCCGTCAATTAGTACCTGAGTCGTACTGTTGTCAGTGCGGGCTTGGCGTTCCGATCTTTTTGTCACCCGCGAGTCTGGTTTGTGATTTGTACGCTCAAGGAATTTCGTATGTGCCAGTTTTCCAGTGTCGCTACTGCTCAAAGTTATCGCAGATGATTCAACTGATAACATTACGATCGTATCCTGTTCTGTTCCTTGCGCACAGGCTCGTCGTCCGTCCTTCCAATTTTCTATTCCAGACCAATTGCTCCCAGTATTCAGTGATGGCACAACGACAGTCTTTTTTGAGGAAATGGAGGGATGGCGGCTAACGTCAGGCAGGCAAAATGAGTTGTGAGAACATCATTGGCTCTTGTCGTCGTGCACATACTTGTAAGGGCAGATTAGCCTTAAAAGTACGTTTTTCGAATATGAACATTCAAATATTATGCAAAAACGTGAAGATATGGGAAGTGGATTTACAGGTAGAATCTTGAGCTTCTCTCTATCATGCAGCGACAAATTTCTTGATTTAGATGATGGCATTATTTTCAGCATTCAGCCTTTACAATCTCAACAAATGACAGCTTCCGCAATACACAAGCCAATTCAGTAATTTGAAAACATTTCACGATTCAAGTTTTTGATCATCATCAAAACATGCATCTTTTGTGCTGCTTTACTCGTACCTTGTATAAAAACGGGTGCGCGATGTTCTTCTCAATGCCAAGAAATATAGAGTTTTCTGTCCTGCACAACTCACGCTAACGAGCGGTGACGAAAGGAGGAATGGCTCACTTCAGGCTCCAGCGATTCGCTTGATTATTAATACAAGTAGGTATTGCATCCTCCTCTCCATCAACCTATTCTTGATAGATGAATCATATAGCAAAAGCCGTGGACGCAGATAACAAATTCCGAACATGGCAGAACAGGGACTTGAGACCTATCATGGCAATTGTCATTGCGGCGCTTTCAAGTTCTCCGTCAGGCTCCCCGAGCTGAAACAGGTCTTTGCGTGCAATTGTAGCATCTGCTCAAAGGTCTTTTCATTTTTCCATTTTTCATTTTTTTGGCTTGTCATGTATGGTAGAATGGCGTGCTGATTGATGGCCGGTACAGAAAGGCTACCTCTGGGCCTTGCCCTCGTCCAATGATCTGTTCGTAGTGGAAAAGGGTGACGGTACATTAAGGGACTATCATTTTGGGAAGAAGACCATGTCCCACAAGGTGTGCTCACGCTTCACATCGAATTTAGATTCTTTATATCAAACGCTGATGCAATCAAGTTCTGTCCGAATTGTGGAACGCCAGTGATGGGCCAAAGACACGTGGAAGGTCCATCCATTGGTGTCAATGTGAGAAGGGACCATTTCCATCAGATAAAATTTCGAACCCGAGGATTGACAAAGACGGCAGGTGCGCACATTTCGAGACTTTGATGAAGAAAAATTGGAAATCAAGCCGTACGACGGTGCCGGTCTCGAGCCACACTATATACCTCCGAACGGTCCGGAGGAATCAGATCTCAACGGATCCACCAAGTGCTATCGAGGAAGTTGCCATTGCGGCAAGGTCTCGTACGATCTCCGGAGCGAAGCGCTCGAGGACATCGGAGTGCTGTCGTGCAACTGCAGCATCTGCTCCCGGGTATGTCCCTCATCCTCCAACCGTCGTGATCGTGATCGGGTCCATAACGGCGACAGAACGCCGACCTCTGGGTCCACCCATCCGAAAAAGACGTCGAGCTCCGGGGCGGAGATCATCTCACCGTCTACCGATTCGGGCGTAAGATGAGCGGGCACGCTTTCTGTTCGACATGTGGTGTCCCGATTATGAACCAGTTCGAGCATCCCGGAGGGAAGGAGTTGGAGTTTATGGTGGGGAAACTGCCGGTCAACGCGCGCGTCATCAACGGGATCGATTTGAAAGCGCTCAAGGTCACGAAAGGGGATGGGAAGAACATGCTGGGACCCAAGTACGAAGTGTAAGGCCACGTGAGCACATGGCCGCTGGGAAGGATTGGGGCCCGGGTTCCGCTCCATCGTTACGACATGGAATGATAGAGTGAGGATAAGCTTTGGGATTGGTGTGGCTTCTTTGGCCCGGAAACATGGCAGATGTGGAAATGGACTGGGCCTTTCGGACCGTGGGCAGGTTGTAGACTCTTCCATTTCTTTCCCAGATTTCCGGCTTCACAGATTTCGAGAACTCTTTCCGAGGGATGTTAGGGCAGGTTGGACTCACATACTAGTACAAGTCTACCCACAGTGGATGAATTCTAGAATCAACTATCATCCTCTTGTTTCACCATTTCCATAATCTTCGCAAGTTGTATCTATTTTCTAATTCCGAAAAGTCCCATCGCATAACTTGTGAGGATATATGTTATACAAGACCGGCAGACACGCCTCGTTTTTGGACCAAAATCGTCTCGCCAAAGAGCTAACCACGATGATCTGCGCCGTACGCCACGCGCCGTAAGGCCTTCTTGTGTGTTAAAAGGCCGCAGAGAAGCTCGCCGCCCCATGGAATACTTTGCGGCTTTGTTACCACCCCTTGCGGATCTGCGTGCAGCACATGGGGTGAGTGTGCGATGGTGTCAGGGATAGAAGAACCACTCGAAAGGCTCGCACAAGTCCTGGCCTGGAGCACGTTGAGTGGTGCATCAAAGGTGCTCAAAATGAAACCATTTGACCGAGGAGAGGAGAGAGAGGCTGTCAGAGAGGTTTGCTTCTCAAGACTATTGAGCTGCGGCGATGTGGCAACATCAGAGCAGGTGATTTCGCGTTCAACACGCCTCGAAGCGACCGCGCGGTCAGGATTGTGCTAGCTGGCCTTATATCAACAGAAACGCCCCAAGTCTGAGCAGCCGCAACTACAATATGATGCCATCCCAGTGCATTGTGTCGTTGTAGTGCACACCTTCTCGTCCAAGCTGATCTCATCTGGTATTGAGAGTGTTTGGGTCGTCGGCAGGATAAAACCTTGTTGATTTTAGTGAATATTGCAAGGCAGAGGAAGTGAAAAGGCTTACCAGGCTGCTAGAGCAATGATCATATACAACACCTGGAGAAGGACGCCCTCGAGCCTATGACCTTGTCAGAAGATTGAACTGGACAGATCATACTCGAAGACTGACCAATGTGATTTTCCATCCTGAATGAGATAGTTGACCAGCAAAACAGCAACGAAAAGCACGGCAATCTGGAAACCATCGAAGGCAAGGTTCATGTTTGCATTACCCATGATCCAGCCCAAAACCACGGTGAAAGGAATGACAAGTAGAGCGATCTGCATGCTTGATCCGATCGCGACTCCGATGGCTAGGTCCATCTTATCTTTGCAAGCTACCGTCACTGCTGTTGCGTGCTCCGCTGCGTTCCCCACGATGGGAAGGAGGATCAGCCCCACAAAGGTTCTGGAGACCTGCCCACCCTGAGTGATGGCATTGATGCTATCAACCATGAATTCGGCGCAGATGGCGACAAGCGCAGTCGAAGCGGCAAGGGTGAAAAGAGCCACCCATTTGCTCAATTGAGGAAGTTCTTTATCTTCTGGTTCTCGCATGGGCGTCTCCTGGGTGGCTGACCCGCCCATAGAAGCCGAGATGCCCGCACCTATGTTGGCCAATCCTCTAATGGAGTCCCCTTCCTCTACTCTGGTCCGCCGCTTTTCGACCTTTGTGCTGGGTGCGTTATACATTGACGCGTGAGTCTTCAGTTGGAAGAAGAGATAGGCTGCGTACACCAGTAGGAGTAGGATGGCGGTTCCGCGCGAAAGCTGGGTAATTCTCTCTGATTTCAGAGACTCTTTGATTGGAAACAGGGTGTTAGCAAATAGACGAACCAGCTCCGTGATGGGAACTTACGAAGCCCATCCGCCCACGCCTGAAAAGCCGCAGGAATGATCAAGCTCCCAACAGCTAGAGATAGCAAGCTTGAAGCTGTCTGCGCAACTGTGATGTTGAAATGCTGCTCGACACGGTTGATGCCTCCGAAGAAAAAGCACATTCCCATGACGAGGAGGAGATTCGACAACATGCTGCCGATCAGGGATTCCTGCACAATATCCACTTCGCCCTTGATTAACGCAATAATGGACACAATCAATTCGACAGCATTGCTATTGTTCAATCAGTGACGGCTGTGTATGACCGATTGTGTAATTTCTTACCCGAATGTTGCATTCAACAAACCCCCAATCGTCTCCCCAGTCCGTAGAGCGATCTCCTCCGTTGCATAGCTCAGCATAGCGGCAAGAGGGATGATGGCAATAAAGTTGATCACGAAGACTCCGACCTTGGGAACGTTTGCGAAATTGACGGCGATGCCGATGGGAACGAAAACCAACAAGACATTGATCCAGGAGTTGAATAGAGTAGCCTTCAGTTGAGATGCAACTGTGAAAGTCTGCGTTTCTTTCGCCCACATCCCCGAGCGTGTTCGCGTCTTCTTCACTTCCTCAGCTTTCTCCCCGTCCTCCTCTTCCTTGGGTCTGCTCACGAACGGAAATCTCTTTGTGAATCTCCGTCTTGGCTTTCCGTCTTTCTCATCGGACTTGGCTTCTGAATCGACCACGGTAGAACTCTCCGTTGTCCCAGAATCCTGACTCTGCTCATGGTCTCGACTAAAATCTTTCACTGCAGATGCACCTTCCACAGGCGACTTTCCAGAAGAAGACTGGAAAGAAGAGGGCATTGTTTCTGCATGTTTGGGCGGCTGAAATGCGTTTACATTCTGTGATCTTCGCTGGAGCTCGATGGAAGGAGTGAGCTGGCTCTCGGAGCGATTTGTAGGAGGAGGTCGCAATGTGTTCTCCTCGTCGGCTTGATTTGGATCCTTGTTTCGTGTTCTGGTTTTGCCAAAAGGGTTGTAATTTGTAGGACCATCTTCCTCGCTATACCAGGCTGCTTGTTTGGCAGCTGCGCGATATTTGTCTGGGTTGCGAAGCATCAGTATAGCATCGAGTCTGGGGCTTGGCAGTGGCACTTACGCATAACCTGGAGTGGACCGTGGGAGTCAATGCGCTGAAGCGCGAGAGAGGGTTGGGAAGGTTGTTATGATTCTGGTGGGGCGCAAGATCAGTATTGACAAGTATGAGGTGAGGGGATTTTGGTAGCCTTACGTTTCTCTAGACGGGTGGTCGTCAGCTGGGCCGCAGGCACACAGCCTTGAGATGGGGAATATGTGGCTGCGAAGACGACAAGGTTCCGGATCCGTCGGTCTCTGGCAGCTGGGGTTTAGGGCTGATGTTGAAGCGAGATGTAAGAAGTAAGAAGTTGCACTTGGTAAGAAGTATGCTTCAGCACCGGAAGCGGAAAAGAAGATTGGGCTGGTGAGAGAGAGTGATGAAGTTGATGAAGCGTGAAGGAAAGGAAAGGGGAAGGCTTTGCCTCGCCAGCAAGGCAATAGGAATCGCCAAGAGCCAAGGGTGCCAAGAAGGCCTTAACTTCGTTACAGGCTGCCTTGATTGTTTGATTTGTTTGTGAGCGAGTGGCAAATATTGTTGTCGGGAATCAGGGTCGTCACAGCGCAGATTTAAGGCTCAAGCTTAAGGTAGGCTCTCAGGCACTTCTCCGTACTACTGTACTTTACTATACTTTACTGTACTTTACTGTACTTTACTAGTACCTTACTGAAGAGTGAATTCCCGGACACGAGTCGGCTAGAGTAAAGTAAGGTAAAGTAAAGTAAGCTAAGCTTTCCCGAAAATAAGATTACTCGTCGTATCCGCAAGGTGCTTTACCTGTACCTAGTAGAGTACTGTACTGTAAGAGAGCGAGAAGGTGAGCTTGGACAATCCATCAAATGTAGGTATATGATGGTTGATGAAATGTGCAGCGTCACGGGATGCACTGAAGTACTCTAAGAATCTTCATCACCTCCCACTTCTCAAACTTCTCGAAACCATACAAGTCTCCCTGACGCCACAAGTACCTGGTATTCTCGCACAGTCCCTTGGGGGTCTCCGTGCGCTGCCGCCCGCCAATACCGTATGCTTCCGAGGAAGCATAGGTATTCCTCCATAACAATCTGCCGACGATCGGGACTCTATGAGGTTACACAGATGACCTTCTCCTGATATCACCACCATCACTGTTGTCGCGCAGCTTACTGCGGCACAGACTCACGACATATCCCTCACACCATCACGATTTTCTTTTCCGCGCGTTTGCTGGCATGTTGCCGCAGCAATGGCTGATTGTTGTTGATGAGCCTATCAAAAACAGAGTGATATTCGGATGTGACTCTCCCATGCAAGGCGATAATGCAGGGTCCAACGGCTATCCTATCTAGGTGATCTTGCGACGTGCGAGGCAAACGGGGTACGCGGTTGCCCTACAAAACGCTCTCGTTTCGGTTTGAAGTGGCATGGGTCTAGTTGCCCAAGTTGCAGACTCCTGTAACTACTGCGAAACGAGGTCACCTGACCATGAGACATTTCATCTTGCTAGAGCAGCCGCCGTGATAAGGGAATCATCAAACCCATTTTCATTCAACGGTTACAGAATATGGCAAACCAGGATCTTTCTCGTCCGCTCCGTGCCTCACATCTTCGACACATGAGCACGGGTAGCTCCACCACATTTCATGGCGCAGGCCATGCAGATGATAGTGCGCCTGGAGCACATATAGGATCCACAGCCCCGAAAGCGGAATCTGGAGTCTCAGTGCGGCTGTTGTGTAGCCTTTCAGTACACGATGAGAATTTGTCCACGGAAGACGTCGTCATAAATTCGGCGCTTTTCCATGGTAACGAGGTGAAGGCCGGGACTTTGATGCAGCTGACAGCTTTGAAGGGGAATGTTGAGACCATCATCCATGGTGGGAAGTCACAGAATACCATGCAAAAGCCTACTGCTGCTGCGGATGTTCAACCAGAGAATGTGGACTTGGGTCGGCATCACATTTTCAGTGTAAAACCTATCAGTGAGGAGATGCTCTTGAAACAGCCAAATGTGCAGATTTCGATTTCGCGCCGAATCGGACATGCATCCGGCTTTGAGAAAGGGAGCCAGGTGTTAGTGTCAACAGCTGATGAGGCATCCTGCTACGCTTCCCATGTAGAGATCGTCTTTCGAGATCAATACCTTGCCCGTGGGGACATGTGGCGCCTGGTCTCCGCCGAGTTGGCTAACCGCTGCATCTTCAGAGGTCAAAGGATCGTTTTCATGGAGAGCATCAAAGCTAGCATCAAAACGATATTTGTGAAGGGCCGGAAAGTGCCGTCTGCTTTTTTCCATGCATCCACCAAACCCATCTTCCGCAGCGAGTCTGCTCGATATGTTTTATTCGTCCAGATGTCGAAAGAAATGTGGGATTATGATGCCGATGGTACTGGAGAGATTATGTTCGACAAAGTCATCAATGGCTTCCTTCCTGAGCTCTTTGGGAGATGGCAACAACTGAAAGTCAAGCATCTCGTGAGCATAGTACTATTCACGAGGATGATATACGAAGATAGGCCGGCTATCAACTCAACCAACGCAGACCTCAGCCAAGAAAGACTACACAAACGAGATAATGGAGATAATAGTGACGCGAAAGACTTCTATCGAGTCGTAGCCAGTGATATGGCAAGCGGAGAATGGGCTGATATCCTTAATCAGTTAAAAAGAGAGTACAAGGTATTCCTTCGAGACATTTCCATCCGAAAGCCTGATGCGGGAGATCACTTACCACTCGGGGCGGACATCTCTTCGGCATTGGCTAATCTACCTAGTCATGTAATCGCTGGCCGTCCGTCTGCGGCGACGCACGGGAATGTTCTTGAAGCAATAAATCTAGCATCATCCCAATTCTCCTCCGATTACATTGACCGTGATCTTGTAAGGACTGGGGTCTCTATTGTAGTGCTGACCCCGAGCGCGGGTCTGTTCGAAGTGGACTACGGCCTCTTGGTTGCCACCAGCGAAAGCCTAATTGATAATGGTGTTGGTATCGATCTGGTCTGCTTGTCGAAGATGCCACTACATTCTGTGCCTTTGTTCAAGTATCGACCGCCTCGTTCCGAGTTGAGTGATTTAACTGCTGGACGGACACCTCACGTCGCCGATGACCAAGATACACCAACAGGAAGTTTTTCAGGCGGCGCGGGTCAAGTGACAACACTGACGTCCTCAGTGACGCATGAGCGGCCACATCAAATAAAGGAAACACTGGGCGGATCATCCGGGCACCCGTGGAGCTATGGCATCCCACACTGGGTCGACATTTCATTCTGGACCGCACCAATGGACGAGGACCTCAGGGCAATCGCCGCTCCGATTAAAGCGAAGAACAAGTCAAGTTTCGATGCACCGAGGCATAAGACTTTCGTACCGAGAGTGAAAATGTACGAACTGCAAATGATGGGCGTCATGGAAAACGCCATTAGCGACATCTCGATCCCAACCCTATCTCAGAGTTTCAGCTCCTCTGTCAGTCAATCCAGAATTCTATCCTCTACAAGCGTTTTTGGATCCCCAAGACCGGCGAGCGTACATCCAACCTCCGAAGTCTTTGGTTCGCAGAGTGATAGATCGGGCGGTCGTACACCGAAGCTCTCCTCCTCCATTGTGTCTGGTCGATCCGGCAATCAAAAAAGCATCAGTCCCATGTTCCAGTGGATGAATGAATATGATGACTTGCTCTTTCGCCATCCTCTGGTGGCGAGAAAAAGAGCTCGAAAGGCAATATCTACACGGAACATGTCCATGAGTCACCATTACAGTCCATCTTTGCTTGGCACTTCCGCTGGCACTCGTCAGGGTTCTATTGGCAGGCCCAAGCATAGCTCTGATGAAGAAAGCTTCCCCAGTGGAGCAACGCTGGAGCGCCGTGCATTGCGGAAGAAAGCGAGCGGGAAAGGAAACGTTGCTAACCCTGGAAGCAGCAAACAAAAAGCTCGTCCTACTCTGAATACGAAACCGCGTCAGATCAATTTTGGGCCTCAAGGGTTCGATTTCGCCAGAGCAAAGGCGATTGCAACTACGAGCACTGAACAATCTGCCGGCTACAATGTTCCCACGTCTCTCATAAGCCAAGGCTTCAAGTCACCATTCCCGATCAAGCATAACCCCACCTCAATGAAGCTGCCAAGAAAGGCGCACATCAGCACGACCTCGGGCAGTAGCTCTAATCCTCCCGAAGCCACTCCAAAGGATCAAGACTTGCCACAATCCTCCGACTCTGAGCCGCAGCAGACATCAAGACCAATCCCAATCAGAAAGCCGACCGCCATACGTGTGAGCAACGAAGCCGGATACAAGAGCACGGGTGCCCGAAATATTCACGAGCATAAGGCAGCCGGTCAACCAACTGACAGACTTAAAGCATTGCAAGACCTTCGGGAAGAGGACTCCACGAAATCTACGTCAGACTATGAGCGCATCGACGATTCTCCCACGCTACCAGCAATCCTGTCGCCTGGTACCACACTGGCCCCTTGGTTAACGATGTTGAACCCCTCCAATCCTTCGAAGACAAAGACAGCAGTGGCAAGTCGGCTTGGGAGATGGCAGCACATCTTCCCACGTCCTCTACCAACCTCACAGATCAAGTGGAAATCTCTGTGCTCTCCTGCTGCGGTCCCACTCACCACGGAGGAGTTCCCTTCCGCCGAGCAGCTTACGGGGGAGTATCAAAAGAGCGATTACAAAGTCAAAATCCCAGAGAATGCGGATCTATCAGAGATGCCTCGATCGCTGATCACCGAAATGCTCGGCTTCCGCATTTCACGCGGCTTCCAAATTGTTGTGGGTCCACGCGTTGCGGAGAGTACGGAGGTGCCGGCCTCGCAGTCTCTCAACATCTTCGATGGGCAGGTGCTGGCTGAGATTGGCGCTGTGGTTTTTCTGTCACGAGGTAGCAGTATTCAGAAGCTGAAACGGTCCGACGAAAACGAGGTCGAAGTCACCCAGCTCATTCGTCACGGTGCTGTTGCAAGCAAAAACGCCGAGGCTGAGTCTATGCTGTATAGACCTGCCATTTGTTCTATGCTGGCCAAAACTTATGACGTCCAGGATATATCCATGGGTCCACAGCGCGGGAACTTTGACTGGAAGATGATTGACAACTTCATCTTTGGCCATGAGAGACCTCAAGCGAAAGATTTTGTGGAGATCCTACGGCCGTGGCGCGCTCGATTCGTACTGATCCCGGTAGATCCTCCTTCGAACACGCGCCGTCCGCTGCGCATCATGAATGAGGATAACGAAGAAGAGATTAGGCTAGAGGGAATCAGGAAGCTTAGCCAAGTATGGCAGAAGTTTCGATACATTCCTCCAGAGGAGCGCCGCTTCCACATGCATTTGCGAAACCGCAAAGATACAAACCCTTTGGACATCTTGTACCAAACAAGGAATTCTTCCGCCATCGTTGCTGCCGAGCTAGAGAATGTTGCGGAAGGGGATGCCACCGGGAGACCAGTGCAATTGCTGCCCGAGTCTGACCTGTACCAGCGTTCAAACCTCAACATTGCGTCTCTTGCCGAAACGATACAGACTGAGAAAGGGGTTCGCATGCTGGATCGAAGATGGCATTTGAGGCTCCATTACAACTGTTTCATTGGCTTCGAATTGACCACATGGCTGCTTCAGAACTTCAGAGATGTGGATACCCGAGATGAAGCTGTTGAGCTTGGTAATGAGCTCATGAAGAGCGGCATGTTCCAGCATGTTGAACAACGCCACAACTTTCGCGACGGGAACTACTTCTATCAAATTGCGGATCAGTATCGTGCGCCTCGACCAGAGTCTCGAGGTTGGTTCGGACGAGGCAAAGTATCTGTGCCCTCCACTCCGATGTCGGAAGACGCTCCTAAAGAGCTCCCTACGACGAACCGCTCTCGCGCAAGCTCAACGAGTATTTCAAATTCAGATGCAGACCCAGTCGCGCCCACCGGAAAGAAGAAACATCTAGGTGTCGCACTCAGCAAATCGTTACTATATGATGTGGACCATCGTAAGCGATCATACAGACCGGAATTGATCAACCTGCACTACGATAGACTGCACAATCCCGACAATTGCTATCATATTCGAGTCGAGTGGATGAATACAACGCCAAAGCTCATCCAAGATGCCGTCATCTCTTGGGCGACATCCGTCGACAGATTCGGTCTACGTCTCGTAGAAGTACCACTCGGAGAAGCTTGTTCAATCAGCAGCATGCATCCATTTCGAGCACCTTATCTAGTGAAACTCGCACAACAACCACCCTCAAGACAGCCACAAAGCTTCTTCGCCGACACCACCACCTTCTCTCCTCAACTTCGACCTGAAAAGCACCTCTACCAAATAGCGATCTTGAAACGATTCAGCTTTGTACTTGACTTCGAGGCCGCCTCTGACTTTCCAGCAGACGTCAATGTCACATATTCGTGGGGCAAGCCTGATTATCGCTACCCGCAATACATTCATCGCTCAGGCACGATCATTGCACAGATCACGGACGACGGCGACTTCTTGCTCCTAGCGAATAGGTTGTACAACAATCGTAATGCATCCGACTCATCCTATCAGGATGCAGCCAAATCGGAAAATCCGGGAGACGCTGGACAAGATCGTAGCATGGGCATTTTCCGCTCCAGCCCCCACCGTGGCAAACATCCGCCTTCTCCACATTCCTCCCCATACAATTCTCCTTCTGTCCATCCCACATTGAACATACCGCCCGCCACGGTAGGGGCTAGCAAAGCTCCGACAACGATTGCTGCCCCAACAAGTTCAACTGGCTTCACGCGGTCTGGAGCTGCGACGGCATTTACAACACCTGAAGCCATCAAGAAGGACTTTGAGACTTTTTGCACGGATGTAGACGCATTGGAGACGTTTTACACAGAGGTTCTGCGTAAAGTTTCGACATCGGTCCCCAGTACGCCGTTTATGGGCGCAAAGACGCCGTGGAAAGGGCCAGAAACGCCATTCAATGAGAGTAGCATACCAACGTTGGCGCTACCGGGAAGCTTGATGTCGAAGGATAAGAAGGTGGAAAGGGGGGAGAAAAAGCCGCAGATGAAGACGAGTATTATTGAAGAGGAAGGTAACCAGGATGGTGGAACAGCAAGCGGTGCTTCTGGTTGAAACCCTTCGTTCAGTCTCTCTCTCAACGGAGGTGTTACTATATTACGTGGTTGATGGAAGAAGTGCCGAAGGAGTCCTGAAGTGGAAATTGACGCTGGCTATCTCGAAACCCGAGATCTCGCAGTTGTATAGCTTTTCCTAGTTTGATGATGCCCCCAAAAGAAATGTTCCCCATTGCAGTGCGCGTACGTAGCTGTAATTGTTTCTGCAATCCGCGGGAGCAAATGGGAGGATTGTTCCAGCGGACGCCAACACGATCGTCGTAAAATCTAGGCTAATACCAAAGCCAAAGCTCATCCCTTGATACAGCCATAGAAGATCGAACAATGCTATCCATGAGTCAAAAAGTCGCATAGAAATGACCATGCCTCGCGGAGAAGACTCGCTCGATACGTTTAGGGCTAGGGTTAGGGCTAAGCTGTGCTCAACTTCCGATCTATGCTCAACCCTTCCCATCCTCGGTGTTTACTTTTGAGGAAAGATTAGCCAACCGGCATCAACCTCGAATATATGGTCGGCATCGGTGCTGCCGTAGGATCATCGCCCCTAGAGTCGTCTTACTCTACCAGCGACAGAAAGAATGGTGATCGGGTCTACTTGCCGAGAAGGTCCTAAGATAGAGGTATCGCTGCAACACCTGACTGAGTCTTTCGGATGGCCAACAGCAGGACCATGGCATCGTGCTCGACCTCGCCTTCAGCCATGGCTGAATTACGCTGCCTCAACTTCGAAGGTGTGTCCGCCAGAGTATACAAACCCAAGCTACCGTGCTATTTGACAGCCACAAGGTCAATGTCGACGATGGGAAGTCCAGTCCGCGGTTCTCATTGCATAGCTCTTTGGTGCCTGCATTGTGGCCTGCAACATCCACCTCGTCCAGTAGCAGGTACACCTCCTAGCCAGTACAGTCACTTGAGGACCTGCTGCCCCTTCAAACTATCCACTGGAGCGGACTGAGAATCTTCATCTTCTCTTGCACTCATTGCGAAGGCTTATCTTCTTCGACGCTGCAACTCATCCCTTCATCTGGGCTCCCAACTTGTCGCGGCATCGAACCACTTCCTCTTGTCCGCTCAGGTCTTCCTCCTCCATCAGACCTCCAACTTCCTCCTCTCGGACGTCCAATCACTTCCTCATTCAGAATCTTTCCTTCCCGCCTTCGTTTATAAGTTTTCAGCAATCTCTCGAGCGACCCTCCTGTACACCTCTCGACCTTCACCCTTTCTACAACTCTCCTAAATCCTACGTTTATCTTTCGCGTACCGCTCAGTCACACTCTTACACATGTTCAGAACAATCTATTCGCGTTTCTTCAGCCTTTGTCCTCAATCTACCTGTTACTGTCCACGGTTGTCTTTCCGAGAGACTGCCGTTCCATAGCCTTACTCCAGTCTGTCTTCATTAATCATCTACCGAAGCTTGGAAGTCCTCCGATTTTTCTGCAGACACATCACACACTCTCATCTTACTTACTTCTTGCACGAAGCTCCCAAGCCTTCTAAGTTATCAAGAATTGGAAGTCCTCATCTTCTACAGCACATATATCACACACTCTCAACTCGTTCACTTCTTGCACGAAGCTTCCAGGCGTTCTACGTCTACCAAGACTTGTAAGTACTCGAAACCTTCTTCCACCTAGATATCTCACTTCCACATTACGTCTCATCATCATTGCTGCACCTCCTGCCAACGCCTTCTCTGTTTTTCAGAACATTTCACGGGTGCACGCATTTCAAACTCACCTGAACCATCACCGGTTTTCGTGCCATCCGCTTGCTGCAACTTTGCTGCTGCTTCGACAATTGCTCGCTTCCCAGTTTCATCGCCTTTCTACTCTCACTTTGCTTTGCATACATCGACCTTACCCTTGTCAACTCTTCTAGGCACGACTTCATATTAAATCAATTCACGATTCGATCTTAGAGCATTGTACTGCTTTGCCTGAGCTCACTTGTCTTGGTATGTGTATCTCACTTCTGAGCACGACTACCACTCTATCACCCTATTCAATGTCTTCTCCGCTAACTCTGCTCTACAGTCGTCCAACCTTTGATCCACCATGGCCTCTGAAAATGGCGACCCATTTGATGGGGCTTCTCCAAACGTATTTCACCTGCAAGAAGCTGACAGTTACGATGATCTGCTCGGTGTCCAAGTTCACATTGAAGATCTCGATCTACCAATGCCGGAATCCCAGGAAGAACTCGTCCAATCTACACCAGGACTTGACAACGAAGCCATGTCAGATATTTTTATGGAAAATTCCAAGATAGAACCACTAGTCCAGAGCAAAGATACTGACGCGGACATTCTGCCTGGTTTAACGCCACAGCCATGCAAGGTCTTTGCCTCAGAGCCCCGTGACGTGGTGACTGTCAAGCCTGGAGTCAAAGAGAAGGATACGGCGGAGCCAGAGAAGTCGAAGCGCAGCAGTGTGCTAGTCAAGTGCGAGAAGGGCACACCAAACCCTATGCTCGCACAGCATGTATCTGCGAAGAAAATCCCCCCGAACGAACTTTCGTCGCCGAACGGCTTCATCTGCAATCGCGTCCTTGAGCTCTCTGATACGGGTGATGAAACCCTCATCAAAAAGGAGGACAACGAAGATCCTTTAACTTGGACCAGCATGCCAGATGATATCATCTCCATCTCCGATAGTGATGAGGATCACGACACTCTGATGCTGCATTCAGATGGAAGCTCAGTGCCCATCAAAAATGAGGACAACGAAGATCCTTTAACTTGGACCAGCATACCAGATGATATCATCTCCATCTCCGATAGTGATGAGGATCACGACACTCTGATGCTGCATTCAGATGGAAGTTCAGTCCCCATCAAGAAGGAGGACGATGAGGTCGAGTTTCTTTGGGCGAATATGGGTGATCGTGTGATTGAGCTTGATTCCGACAGTGAGCCAAGTGCTACTTCGAAGCTTAATCTAGGGAAGTCATTCCTGAAAGGAATAAACCCGAAAGGCAGGCGTCCACCCATCGACCTTTTAGGAGCCAGGCGAGCACAGGAAGCCTATCTCCGGGCTCATCGCCGTAACCATGATATCCCGGAACCCTCGGCGTATCAAGGAGTGCTTAATGGACTTGGGCTTCAAGGATTGAAGCGGTCAGATCTTTCTGTTGACGATAACGGGTCCGCCTGGATGAACACTGAATATATCTCGGACGAAGACACTGGCAGAAACTTTCGAGCTCTCAGAAAGAGCTACAATTCCAAAGTCCGAAAGAACATCAATACACTGGATGATGACATCGAATTTGTAAAAGCCGAAAAGGCGGAGAATCTCCGACTCGCGAGGCTCAAGGCTGAATATGAAGATGCTCGCGGCTACAGCGACGACGACAATTCTGACGACGGTCTCTTTGTATCCCCTTCATCAGCGAGAACTTCTCGTCCGAAGAGACGCGCAGCTGACGAGCCCAATGCGGAAAATGAGATCTCGGATTCTCGGACCCCAAAGCACCGCAAGCCAAACAACAGCCGTAAAGGAACTCAGCACGAACTAGATCAGGAGCAAGAATTCAACATGATGGCGGGAATTGAAGGCGTTATCCGTAAGATCGAAGAAGAAAAAGCTGAAAAGTCGGGAAAGAAAGGCAAGCACAAATCTGGTAGAAATGCCAAAGCTGGCAAGAAGGAAGGTTCGAAGAGAATGAAACGCACGCCCAACGATCGTGGATACCTGAATGATTCGAACAGTCTTCTGACCAGTAATGTCTACGAAGACGCAGATGCGAACCTCAATCGAGAAGCACTGCCTGTTTCTGGGCACACCCACAAGAAGAAAGCACTCGCCGCGCTTGTTGCCAGTGTCCCTCTTGGAACGACCAAAAAAGATGCCGTGGCCGAGAAGAACCATATTTTGAAATCGACTGTGACCCTTGGTAGAAATATTAAAGGGACTTGCAAGGCAGATGGCGCAAACGGCTGGAAACTTACGGGCATGAAGTCATCGCTCCGCCATCATCAAGTACAAGGAGCAGCTTTTATGAAGAATCGAGAGACCGGCGGCGAGAAGCCATTGGGTGGCATATTAGTAAGTCTACTGCCTCTTGATTATCTCAAGAAAGATACACTGACTCTGAGACTCCGAAGGCGGACGCCATGGGGATGGGTAAGACTATTATTACGATTGCCAGTTTAATAGGTAATAAATATCCCTCGTTGCTATCATTTGGATATTTCTCCTCGTCCCCTACTAGTTCCGCCTGCGGGGAGCGTTAACTAATACCTCTTCAACGATACTAGCCAACCCGCCACCTCGCGGCGAGAAACACAGAGCTACTTTGATAGCATGCCCTCCAGCGTTGTTGGTACAGTGTAAGTTCTAGTTCGAACTTTTTCCAGTTGATAGTTGTCTTACTTGAGGTAGGGGAGCGAGAGTTAGAGACGCACACTGAAGAAGGTCATTTGGACTTTGTGTTGAAGCATTACTCAGCGACCAGAGTTTGCGGCAAGGGTGCAGTTCGTGTCATGCAGGAACAAGAAGTCATGTAAGTGTCTGCCCGGGATGTATGAAATTGCTAACCTATCTAGTCTTACGACGTACCAAGAGGTAGAGCCGTGATTTCTGTTTATTCGATGAGCAAGCTGACTTTTTCAAAGGTCTTGAAATCATACCCAAAACTTGATGTACCTGAAGACATCCGCGACGAGGAAGAGTTGAAAGCCTGGTGGGAGAAGCAATGGAACAAAGAGAGAGATGTACTCCACCAAGTCCAGTTTCACAGAGTTGGTAAGCTTCTCCAATATCGCTCTTGCATCTCGGGTTGACGAAGCTGATTTCATCAATAGTACTCGATGGTCAGTATCGCGTTCCAAGATCAACTTCACATATTAATAAAAATGACTAGAATCTCAAGCTATCAAGAATCACGAGACCCAGACCTCAATTGCATGCAGAGCCTTGATGGCAAGGCATCGCTGGGCTCTAAGTGCGACCCCAATCATGAACAGAGTAGATGAGCTCTATCCGTACTTCAAGTTCTTGCGCGTCCCATACACCGGCTCTTTCGGCGACTTTCAGGAAAACTACTGTAAGCCGGGCAGCGATGATTGCAACTCGCGATTGCATTGTCTTCTGGATCAGATTATGTGCAGAAGGACACTCAAAGACACCATACTCGGAGCGCCAATTGTGAAGTTGCCAAAGCACAATCAGAGAACGATCAACATCGAGTTCAGCCCAGTGGAGAAAGCCATCTATCGACGCGTCTTCAAAAAATTCGTCCGTGTCTTGAACAAGTAAGCACTCCTTATCTCCTATTGATGATCCGCCATCTAACAACAATAGGGCCTCTTCAGACGGAAAGCTCGAGAAGCATCCAGGCCTTGGTTTGGTATGATTTCAAAACCTTGCTGTTGATTCTCTGATATTGATAACTTGCCAGGTTGCTTTCCTCCGATTACGACAACTGTGTGCTCACACGTTCCTCGTCCAGGAGGTTTTAGAAGAGATTTTGGACCTTGAAAGCATCGATAACATGGAACAAGCACTCATTTGCGGCGCGACTATAGAGAACAAGAACGATCGAAACTTGCTAGAAGCCCTGAGACGTATGATCAAGGCCAAGGCGGAAGTGGTAGAACAGCCCGAAGAGTCTGAACAAGAGCACCCTGGCAAGCTTGCAGCCAAGTTCGGCAGCTACCTCAAGACTTTGAGAGCGAACTCCAATTGGGTTGAACTTAGGATTCGTACTCAATGCCATTCGTGTGGGGAACCACCTGAGAGCGCCATTGTTACAAGCTGCCTGCACGTCTATTGCAAAGAATGTCTTCAGGGCATAGCCAACACAGCATCCACGAAAGACGAAGATGAGACGGCTTGTCTGGAGTGCGGTGTGGTCTTCACTGGAGCCGAACCTTGCGCCGGCCTGAAAGAATTGGAATGGGACGACCTTTGGCTGCTCAATGAAATGGCTGGCTGCAAGAGAAGACCTAAGAAAGTCAACATGGAGTGGGTTACCTATGAGAACAAGCTTGTGATGTCTGCTAAAATCACCGCCGTGCGAACGCAAGTCGAGAAGTGGTTGGAAGAAGAGCCGGATAAAAAGATTATAATCTTCAGTCAGTTCCACATGATCATGCAGATCCTGGAGAAAGTCTGTCAGAAAAAGAAGTGGAAATACTGCACCTACCATGGAAAGATGTCACACAAAGCCCGCGACAAGGTGATCACGGAATTCGCAAACGACGATGATATGAAGATCATGATTGCCTCTCTTAAGTGCGGTGGCATTGGCTTGAACTTGACGATGGCTTCGAAGGTTGTCTGCATTGATCTTTGGTTCAACAGCTGCATGGAGCAGCAAGCCTTCTGTCGCGTGTTCCGCATCGGCCAAGAGTCAGAGACCTTCATCTCGAGAATAGTCGTCGGCGGTTCAGCGGACGACAAGCTCATGGAGATGCAGTTGAAGAAGAGCGCACTGATAGGTCAGGCAATGGACGACAAGTCTGTCATGTCAAAGCTCACCACCTACGATATTCTGCGCTTGTTCGGGGAGGTCAAGCTCGATAAGAACCAGAGGCCGTTCATTCATCTGGATGATGACGAAAAGCTCGACAGCCTCTTTGAGAAACGTGGCGAGACTTGATGGCGTGCCCCTTATTCTTGGGACCTGGCGAGGATTTTGACGGCCGGCGAGATGGGCGAATCTGTTTTCTTTCGAGCTTCTTACCACAACATAGCATGCTTTTCCGGCGCCTTCTCCCCCAGCGTTCGCACTTTCTGCCGCGCTTTCGCGGCACCATCCCCCATTCCGTCGCGTTCGCCGCACCGACTCAACGACATTGCAAGCTTTGTTGCGGCCCTCGTGGCCAAACACTCAGCTTCATGGCGGTAGTCAACCGTGGCGACGCCTGCCTTGCTCCGCACTTTCATCTGCCGCTACGACACTTACGACCTTGAGCTTTCCATAACGTCGATAGAATTCATTCGGCGAAATCGGTCCAATGCATATGTGACTTGTTACGAGTGTGAATTAAATAGCTAACGTTGCGAAGATTCTCCGCTGACATGATCTTACGGCTCTTCAGGTCACCGAGCGATAGTACCAAGGGGGGCAGAGATCAGAGACTAATTTGGATGTTGGAAGCGCGCTGCTTGGACTGTTTCTGCACATCGAATGCCTGATTTTTACGAAAGGTCTTAGCTGAGAAAGCAGTATGTGAGGTCAACGTCCCCTCGGTCATCTCGAATACTAGAAGTGTAAATGCCATTCATCGTCGTATCATGCAAACATGCTCAGTTATACAAAAACTTATACACCCTCCCAATCTTCTTGCACACATGCGTCTTGTTCACCCAAGCACTGAAAGCATGCTCCAGATGACACCCCGTGTAGAGCGTTTCCGCCCAAACTTGCTTTTCCACGTCCCGTCCGAACTTCCCGATCATCCCTTTCGTTCCGCCCCACATCCTCTGGCTCCTGATTTCGCTATTGAATATCTCGTGCATTTCCGACGCATCCAGTCTGTATGTGTTGGCGTGCAAGAATGACGGCCTGACCTCTTTGATTTCCTTGTTGTGGAGGATGTTTTTGCTGTAGTCGTCTTCGGGATTATGCTGGACCATTCCGGCACCCTTGAATCGATTGTCGTGGACTTGCGTGTATCCCAGTGTTTCGATGTTTGTAGTGACAGTGTGGAAAGACGCATTTAGACTCATGGCTGCTGCTAGATATGTCTCCTTGTCTGTTTCTCTGTCTCGTTCGCCGGCTGGGCTTTGGGAGAGGAGCTTGTAGTAGTGATTGGGTCCGTAGTAGTTGTAGTAGAGTATCAGGAGTAAGAGCGATGCGTGCTTGCCTTTTGATAGGAGCAGCTGACCCGCTTCGGAAGCTGCCCGTTCCGAGGTTGGAGGTACGGGCTGCATGGAGATCTCGTAGAATTTGGGGGAGGCGGTGTTGGCCCACTTGAACATGGTCAGCTTGGGAAGAATATACTGGGTAGGCCACGTATACGTACGTAGTCAGGCCAGCTGACGAAGCCTTTCGACAAGTAGGGCTCGGAGTTCAGAAGATTCTCGGGCTGCTCAACGGGCAGGTTGTCGGCATCGAGCAAGAGCACGTCGTCAAATGAAGAAAAACCCAGCGCCAAAGCCTTCAATTGGTATCTCGACATCTTGAGCCTGTGGGGCACAGCTTCCAGAATCTCAGAAAAGATCATGCACGTTGCGTTCATGGGTGGTAGCACTATCTCGCAGATCTCCTTCTCATAATTGTTCTTCGACTCCATGAAGACCTCAACGGGCAAGGTTGATCCTGTACGCCGCAGCATTTTCAAAGATACCAGAAACACCGGCAGCAGAGCGCCGGACGCGGCAACGACAATACCTTGTGTGCCCGTTGCGTATGGTAGCTTTTGCGCAAGCTCCGGGATTTGAGCCACGAAGCGCGCATGGGCGTCTCGCATTTTGTCGACATCTTGTTGCGATATCTTCAGCAGGTCCGGGCGAAAGTCGAAACCTTTCTTGAGGCTGGCGAATTCGTTGAGAGGTGCTTCGATTGGGTCAGTTGGAAGGGAGCAGTCGGGCTTCGCTTCGACTAGGGCGCGGGAGGTGGTGTCCCAGAATTCGATGAGACCTGACTGGAAGGGCGAGGGAGGGACTTCATCAGCCGATGTGCCGTTGATAGCTGTCGTGAAAGGGTGGTGTAGCCATCTGAGATGGCCTCTGAAGACGAGCCATATCAGGCTAAAGAGTAGGATCGGGAGCACGATTGTCCTGCTCCTGCGAATGCTGATCATGCTGCCTTGGAGTTGAAATGTTCATGATGGTAGTCTAGAAGGTTGATAGCATGCCCTGAGAGTCCAATGCCGTGGAGGCATGGAGTTCTGTAGTAGTACTATAATCGGGCTCATTCCTTTCTCCAGAAGCGCCAAGACCAGATAAGTCTTTCAGCCTTATACAGGTAGAGGCTTATGATCTTGAGCACGCTAGTCCGAGAAAGGAGAACCACTTTAGATACGCGTGAGCGCGTTAGAATCGCGCCCTGTTCACTTTTCCCCTCCAAATTGTAAAAAACACCGTCAAACCCTACCATTTCCCAGCACTGCAACCCTCGCAAATATGTCTTCAATTGTCGACGGTCTTCTAACTTCTGACAATCCAGATCTCGACCTCGCAGCAGGCTCCCGTAAGAATGGTGCCCCAAAAGTGTCCAACGGTCGAAGCCGAAGCGCCCAGCGGTCGTCAATACCACCATCAGAGAGCAATGGAGCGCTCAGCGATGTCGAAGGTTTCCCAGACGATGAGATTGTCGGTGTGCGAGGCACGGATCGGAATAGGCCTCGAGATCCTATGGCACGAGCTGTGCCCAAGGTAGTGGACAGAGTGGGCGAGAAAGTCGCTGAGGAATTTGAGAGCTTCCTTGACCAGTACGCCTCGACAGCTAGATAGACATAGCACAGCTAATACTTCCAGGTTCATCGAGGATATCACATTATCCGGCGCTCCACCATCAAGCGCGGTCACAAGCGATAAATACTACGTTGCCCAAATTCACGGTCTCCGAATCTACAACCTTTCCACCCTCTACGTTGATTTCCAACACCTCCTGTCATTGCAGAATCAGACCCTGGCAAACGCCATCGCAAACGACTACTACCGATACCTTCCCTTTCTCACGCGGGCTTTGCACAATCTGATCGCGAAGTACGAGTCACGGTATTTCAAGGAACACAGACAGCCTACAAGCGCTTCGTCGCAGACTGGAACTTCCGTTGCCGGCAATGGGGTCAGTCAGGCCGAGACGCAAGGTTCAAGGACCACGAATCAGCAGACGGATAAGCTGTTTACATTGGCGTTCTACAATCTACCTCTGATCTCAAGGATACGGCAGCTACGAACTGCCTCCGTCGGCAAGCTGCTATCCATCTCGGGCACCGTGACAAGGACCTCAGAAGTACGGCCGGAGCTTTACCTTGCCACTTTCATCTGTGAGGGGTGCAGAACAGTGATCTCCAACGTCGAGCAGACTTTCAGATACACCGAGCCCACACAATGCCCCAACTTGACATGTGGCAACCGCCAAGGATGGCGTCTAGACATTCGACAAAGCACATTCGTGGATTGGCAGAAGGTCAGAATACAAGAAAACAGTTCGGAAATACCCACAGGAAGCATGCCTCGAACGATGGATGTCATTTTACGAGGAGAGATCGTGGACAGAGCGAAAGCGGGAGAAAAGTGCGTCTTTACTGGGACGCTGATCGTGGTGCCTGATGTGAGCCAGCTTGGACTTCCCGGTGTTCGGCCAGAGGCCACAAGAGACAACCGAAACGCACCGAGGGGAGGCGACGCAGGGGGGAGTGGAGTCACAGGTCTCAAAGCCCTGGGAGTCCGCGATCTAACGTATAGAATGGCATTCCTATCATGCATGGTAACACCAGATACTTCGACACCTGGACAGGCAGCCAACCAACAACTCAACGGGCAAGCTGGGAACATTCTAGCCTCCTTGAACCAAACCGCCAGCATCGACCCTCAGGACTCGGGCGATCACGCCCAGGATGCGTATCTCCAATCATTGACATCCTCCGAAATCGAGGATCTGAAGCAGATGGTGCATAGCGATCACATATACTCGAGGCTGGTAAACTCCCTGGCGCCGATGGTCTACGGTCATGAGATAGTCAAGAAAGGTCTGCTACTTCAGCTCATGGGCGGTGTCAGCAAAGTCACTCCTGAGGGCATGCAATTGAGAGGAGACTTGAACATCTGTATTGTTGGAGACCCTAGTACTAGCAAGAGTCAATTCCTCAAGTAAGTCCTGCGAACAATCCTGGATCCCTGAAGCTTGAGGCTAATAAGGGCCCTAGATACATCTGCTCTTTCCTGCCTCGCGCAGTTTACACCTCTGGTAAGGCCTCCTCCGCAGCTGGTCTCACAGCAGCGGTGGTCAAGGATGAGGAGACTGGCGAGTTCACCATTGAAGCTGGTGCTCTCATGCTTGCGGACAACGGCATTTGTGCTATCGATGAATTTGACAAGATGGACATCGGCGACCAAGTAGCTATCCACGAAGCTATGGAACAACAGACGATCTCGATTGCCAAAGCTGGCATCCAAGCGACCTTGAACGCGAGGACGAGTATTCTTGCTGCTGCAAATCCAGTGGGAGGACGGTACAATCGGAAGACCACGCTGAGGGCGAACATCAACATGAGCGCACCAATCATGAGTCGTTTCGACTTATTCTTCGTGATCCTAGACGAGTGCAACGAGAGCGTCGATCGGCATCTTGCAGAACACATCGTTAATATTCACATGCTGCGAGATGACGCCGTGCAGCCCGAATTCACTACCGAGCAACTGCAGCGCTACATCCGCTTCGCGAGGACGTTCAAGCCAGAGTTTACTCCTGAAGCCAAATCGCTGCTGGTGGAAAAGTATAAAGAGCTTCGAGCTGATGACGCCCAAGGCGGTATCGGAAGGAACAGCTACCGCATCACTGTGAGGCAATTAGAGAGTATGATTCGTCTGAGCGAAGCCATTGCAAAAGCCAATTGCGTGGATGATGTGTCGCCCAACTTTGTCAGAGAGGCTTTCAACCTCCTCCGCCAGAGCATCATCAGCGTTGAGAAGGATGATGTAGAGGTTGAGGATGACGAAGTCGAAGTTCTCAACAATGGCACCGCCAACGGGCATGCCGACGGCCCTGACCGAGACGGCGACTCTCCAATGGCAGACGGCGACGAGGACGACCAAGACGGTGACGACCGGCCGGACGGCGCAGCTGGGCGAGCATCACAGACGCCTGCCCCGCAAAGCCGAAGAACGAGAATCACCTATGACAAGTACATGGCCATACTCAACATGCTGGTGCGGAGGGTGAACGAGGATGAAATGACGACCGGCGAGGGTGTAGAGCACGAAGAGCTTGTGACCTGGTATCTCGAGCAGAAAGAAGAAGAGCTCAACAGCGTGGAGGAGGCAGAAGAGGAGAAAGAGTTGGCACGAAAAGTCATCAAGCGGATGGTGAAGGTATGTCCATCGACTTCTGATAATCCCAAGGAGTCCAATGCTGATCAACAAAACAGGACAACATCTTCATGCAGATACGGGGAGAGGGTCTCGACGGTGATGAAGGAAGCTCAAGGGATGCAGAGAAGATAGTCTATGTCCTGCATCCTAATTGCGCGGTCGAGGAAATGTAACGGACTTGTGGCATATGTTGGCGTTTGGAGGGTCAACGCTCGGTGTCCCCCGGGGATCAGGAGCATACAGGCATCTGAAATCCAGCATTTGAACGGGATAATGCGTCGATACCAGGCGAGACCATGGACTCTGTTCTTTCTAGTACTGTAAACTATGTTGCTTGGGCGATAAACCTCGGCCTCCGTGCTCATATCGTCCAGGCTTCAAAGGGATCTCCACCATTACAACTCGGCAGCGTGCCTACCCGACCGCGGTCTTTAGCGAACCAACCTCCCCCTCCCTTCTCTCTTCCGGGATGATTTCCCCCTCCCCTCTGCCCCGAGATCTGTGGCCCGGGTTGTGCCTTTCCGAACAAGAATCCTAGTGGCGCGACCACTCAGGACAACCAGCGACCGTGTTGATCCCCCAGGATCTGCGCCAATGTCGATACGATGGCGCAGCCATTCATTCCGATGATGCCATCCGACCCGAGGCTCATCGAGGACGGCCGGACTCACTTTTGCCCAAATCCCTTGTCCCCAGGATTGAGTTCGACGATGGACTGTTGTGCCCCTTGCAACGTGCCGTTCGTAGGATTGGGCGCGGTGTCCATCTCGGTCCCATCGCACTCTTCGTTGGGGTGAGTTTCCGGGCTCCGGATTGTGAACGCTGTAGATGTGTTTACTTTAGGTGGGCGGGCGCCGTGGTCGCGGAAGCTTTCGACGGAATCGACCCGGGTACAGGGGAATGCCTTCTCTCTGCTGCGCGTCTCAACGGTGGCGGGGGTGCATTGTTTCTCATCTTCTTGAGTTCCGTCCCAGCGTACGCTCTCAAAGGAGCAACCTTTAGTGTTGGAATATTGATGACGGCTTGTTGTTTTTCTATGGAGGAGTACTAGTACTGCTACTTATAGTCCATGCCAAGCATAACAGGGCTGAGTTGCTGAATTCCAACATTTAGGCTTGATGCAAGTTGCGCATTGAAGGTATCAGGCATTCCAGCGCTAGCCTGGTGGATGCGGTCCACAATCTCCCGCTGTGAGTTTTTTCCTGAAGGCGCGGCAAATGGCTGCATCGTTCCAACACAGATCCGTAACGACTTGTCTCGAAACGATTGATGAAGTCCTGTACGGATCCGTTGCTCCTCATTCGGATACGTTCCATCTTGAGACCTGCGTCGAGGCCAACGTTGCCTACAGGGTTAGTTTCGAGCAGCCAGGCTTGTAATCTGTCCCGATCCGCAAAGATGACCCGGCTCCCCTGGAGCCTCGTCGACTGCGCTCGAGTCTTGATCTTTGAACCTAGGTGAGTGCAGGCCGTAAATGCTTGCGTATCGGAGCCATCAATAGGTTGTAGGTTGAATAAGACGCACGTCCGTGGCGAAATACAAAGGGAGTTGGTCGATCTCTGTTGTTGCCTCTTGGGGCATCAACACTGTCAACTTCGCCTGCTCCCATCTGGCGCCAGGCACGAGCGAAGTTGTCGTTGGCTATCACATTAATCTGGGGGTATTCCGTGATGGAGCTGGTGCTACAGGTATCTGTTTCCAGATTATAGAGCTTTGAACGGCAGCTTCCTCGAGGCTCTCTTCTCTATCTTTTCTATTTTCTTCAAGAAAGACAGCAGAACTGAGAGCGTTAACATCAGCTTCATCCACAATACCCTGAGTGTCTTCGTCCAGCAGGCGGGGACCGATCTCTAACGAAGCCAAAAGATCGCGCATCTCCAGTTCCTTCACACACTCATATTTTTCTATGTTTTCATATACTATTTTTCTTCGAACTTGTAATAGCAGGACACGTATGCAGGGAAACAAATAGATGAGACATCACTGCGTCGACCATGACCTGCTCACGGCACAGATGAAGGCAAGTGATAAGGACAAATATCTTAAGAACCGATGTAAGTATTGAGAGCTTGAGCGGCTGATGAAATAATGGATTGATTAATTCTGGCTGCTCATGGATTAAATCCGGTGAACCAAGAATCCTGCTGACGTTAAGGCTGCTGAAAAAGAAACAAAACAAGGTGGTATCAAGTGCTGTCCGCTGTTCGTGTATCTCACATTCCAACCGCACGAACTGCTCAATAACCAACGAAAGGGTATCATGCTCAAATGAGCGTGCCAGTGTCAGGATCCTCGAAGCACAAAACAATCTTCAGTAGTAAACCTTCTCCTGATAGATGGGAGGTCTTGCAGTCTCATGATCCCACACCATCTTGCCCTTCTCGTCGAAGCCAGCGCCATCGTCAGTCATGGGAATGACCTTGCTTGAATGGCGACATTCCTGCCGACTAACGCCCATCTCATCTCTTGGAATCCATAGGACAGGTGTTGGGCTCGAGATAGCAGGATGATAGAAAGCATCGCGCTCGACCTCGGGAGCATATTCGATTTCCGCAAAACCTCGAGGTACAAGACGGCGTAGAGTATGATAGTCCGTGTATATGTGGGGGGAAAGGAACTTGGTGATGAGGTTGGGCTTCTTGTGGGGTGCAGCCGGGAGTTCTTTGTCGTCGGTATCGGTACTGTTACCAGCCTGTCTGTCGTTGGTAGTAGCTGAGAGGCCTTTCTTATCGGTCATAGCACCGCCGTTGGTGTTGCCGTTTTCGAGGGAGAGAAGAGACTCTTCCTCCACCTGGAGTGATTTTGGCAGATACATGAGTAGCGGGTCAATGGCCGAGTTTAGGGAGAAATGGAACAGGGCGATGAAAATAAGGTAAATGATCATCAAGATAAGGGGGCCGATGGCGGTTTTGATAGCGAACAGTCCGATCAGACAAACGATGGAGAGGTATACTCCAGTTGTTGTCTGTTGCAGAGCGCGTGGGTAGACGAGACCTTGAGTGTCGATGGTGGCATTAAAAACATACAACAGGTTGTAACGATAAGCCAAGTAGATCAGATAAAGACCGAGGGTAGCAAATCCCAAGACCAATGGTGCAATTATCGAGTAGGTGATTGCTGTCACGGCGTTAGCTGTGAACACGTGTGATGATGATGTCGTGACTCACCAATAACAGTCAGGAGCGTATAAAGCGGGAAGACAGTGCCCCAACCAAGTCCAGAGAGAGTAGAAAATCTCTTGTACATCTTCCTTGGCGTGCTATCGAGGAACATGCCCAAGACCTTGTACAAAATCACCCCAACCAACTGCAGCACAGCACCCGAACTGATGAACAGACCCTGGAGAATGAAGTAGGAGATGTAGAAGTTGGAGGCGGTGGGAAGGTCTTGACCGAGGAGACTGGTGGCCGAAGAAGGGTCTTCGATGATGGAGGTGACTGCGGCCGAAGCGGACGAGCTTATAGTTGTCACCAAAAACACTTGAATAACCTGGAACACGAAATAAGTGTTTTGCACACGGAGCTCGACGCTCGAAAGCGATGGTTTTCCCGCCAATTTCGCCATCTTTCTTAGGATGATGGGCAATAAAGCCATCAATACCGCAAGGAGGATAGAAGGAAGAAGACCCTGAACGACTCCAAGAATGACAGATGGAATCTTGTTAATGAAGCTGAGCCATGGAAGCAACGCCGGTTTGCCTGGCGTGCCTTGCGAGAGAGCTGAAATGTTGGAAAGAGCACCCACGAAAGCCACGGGGATTGCCCAAAATATGATGAGCGCGAATACGAAAGCGGAGGTAGCGATATTCCTGACCACTCTCGACGCCCAATTGATCGGTAGGCTGCTCCAGATGACTTCCTCCGGGTTGATGCCAATAAAGCGTGGTGACATGTGTAGAGGCTGGTGATGGGCAAGGCTCTGATACGCTGCTTGTGCCTCAGTCTGGGTATAAAATTCGACGAAAACAGCGCAGATGAATGTGCCTTCCCCTGCACGGTAAGACGCCTGCTTGGCATCAATCATGGGAATCAAGCGCTCGAGTTCGGATCTGCACCAGTTGATCGTGTCGACCTTTTTGCCGACCAGAAACTTGAGGCGGTGAGTAGGTCGCTTTTTCGGCTGGACCCACCGAGCCGCTACGGAGCCAGATTCACCATCAACCCCGTTGTTAGTGAGTTCAACCCCATCGTCATGGTGGCTACCCTTCTTGGCCTCCTCCAGACGAGCCTTGTTTGACATGGTGACAAGCTTGGTTTCAGCAGCTTCGAGCTTCATGGCGACTTTGTCGCGTTGGGTGACTAGATCTTCAATCTCTTCGCAGTCGTTGGCAATCCAGAGGTTCTTTACTTGCTTCCCAAACATACGGCGTAGCTTTCCCTCATCAAGGTAATCTTTAGGCACCGAGGTGAACAGGACCGTCCTGGCAGACATGCGGTTTGCGTATAGCGGCGAGAGAAGGTAGGCTTGACGCAGATTGATGTAATAAATGCTCTCGCGCATGACGACGTAGAATACGAAGGTGAAAAAGATCCAGGCGACGAAGGTGTGAGCGTAGAAACGATTCTTGGTGTTGGTGACATTGCTGAAACTGATGACATTCAACTGCTTCTGGCCTCCGCCGCCTGTCGCATTGACCGGGAAGAGGATTGGCCAAGTCATGAGACAGCCGACGAAGCAGATGGCCACAGAAATCTTGAGGTACCGCAGCAGGAGGAAACCATCGAGAGTGTGGTGATTGAGGACATAGCTGTCTGGGATCTTGTTGAAAGTGCTAATCCAGTTGAACATGCCGTTGGGAAGATCTGGAGACCGCTCCCTGTAAAAGTGAGTGTCAAGCTCATGCATTTCGGGGTGGGAGACAAGGATGGTTATGGCTTACTGTGGACGAAGTGAGCCAACATGGCTTCTGGGCGAGTAGTTGCGCTTGAGCCTGGGTCGCAGACAGAAGAATATCGAGGTGTAGATGACGGCGACAAGCAAGACCGGTACGAGGGTGGCAAGCAGTTGAGAGAGGGAGGCAGCGTTCTTCTTGCTATCAGATGAGGATCCTGCCTAGAATTGTGGGTCAGCAGTGAGTCAGGGATTGATTGTAGGATGCTGGTCATGTGTATTTGACTTACGCTCGCTCGTGGCAGGATGGCATGGTGAAGGGGACTGGCTTGGTCCATTGTTGACGGACTCTCTCCAGGAGAGAGAGGACAAAAGGTAGGTCGCAATTGGGGGTTGGAGGGGAAGAAGAAAAGGATTGGCAATGAGATCGGAGTGAAGTGTGCAAGAGGCAATGAATGGTAGACTGGTGAATGGGGTATATAATTGATGAAAGGGTGGAGAGGAAGATAGTTGTTGATTTTGCAGAGGAATTGAGTGACGAGATTGACGATCCGGTTGGCAAGGAAGATGGGCGGGAATGTTAAGTATTAGTGGGGTCTTTCCCTGTTTTGGATTGGCTATTCTTGGCGCATGCAGCAGCAAATGCCAGCAATCTCTTTTTTCAATTCTTTTTTCTTTCGTTATTGATTATCATCCAATGGAATTGATTCGAGTGGGGCGGAATGCTACTTTCAACCGGGGAAGGGAATAACAATAACAGATTTGAGATTGGGTTGATTCGATGCGAACTTTCTTTCCTTCCTTCTTTCTTTTATTCTCATCTCGCACACGAGCAGCGCTCCCCTTTTATTATCCTTTCACTAACTATCGGAAGGATTGAGGCCCCGCAATCGAGCACATGCACGATGATGATGTTGTTTGTTGTTCTTAAGACCCTTCAGCCACAGCTCGACGACTCCTTACGTCTTACATGTAGCTTGGCGGGAGAAACAGCCAAAGCATCCTTGGCCCCAAAGTCTGGATCGGACAAGTTCGCTTGTTCACGAGGTCTGAGAGACTGAGAGCGAGAAAAGAAGAGCGCGCGCGTCGGGAAGTTGCATGGCAGCATGGATAAAGCTAGGTGCTTAAAGCCTCATATGGTACTTTACTTGAGCAGGTTTCAACACTTCTAATTATGCCGACCCTTGCAAAGCTGATGAAAAAGCCGAATACCTCACATGAGCCTCTACTTTCATTTGACACCCTTAGTCTGGAACACTTCCATCCCCTTAACCTCAGCGGTCCAGACTCTTCCCGCTCGAGAGTAAAGTGGCACTGTGGCTGTACTGCTGTGGCTGTATTGCTTGGACCCTTGGACCCTTGGAACCCTTGGTCCCTTGGACCCTTGGACCCTTGGT